TAATCTTCCGATGTAGAATTGGGTTTGCACACCAAACAAACCTCCCCTCAAACACAAGACCACATCGAGCCTCCCTTTGAACGAAATTTATATGATCCAACCATCTTGTACTGTTGTTATCACCCACAGAACCCGCCGTCTGACAACACTCTTTCGCCAGGAACACTTTCGATACAAGGCACACGGATCCACCGGCCCTTTCTGCTCCACGGGAAACATGCAACGTCATCCACATCGCAATTGAGCTACCAACCGTGGCTCTGATACCAATTGTTTGGATCAACAACTTAAAACTCAGTTCTCCATCAAGCCCAACATACAAGCCCAAATGAAGTTCCATTCTAAAACCAATTAGCAATAGAATGAGTAGCTCGCCAAACTTATATATAGACTTGGAAATTTTTAATTTTCCGATCTGAGATTGGGTTTGCACACCCAACAGTATGAACTAGCAGAGCCGAGCTTGAATTCGTGATACTCGAATTGGAGTAAACTAGTTTGAACTCTGCTCGTTGAACAAATTAACGAGCAGAGATCGAGGTTTAACGAACTGAACTCATATTAACTAAAAAAAACTTTAAATGAATTCAGCTAATTTTGTGTCTTGATGAACACAACCTATAATCGAGCTCACGAACGACTCATTTCATTTACAAACTATAATTGTACATAACTTGATGTGTGCGTTTACGTTTCCAATCGTAGGACTGTTCAAAGCGGACGCAAACTATTTTAATTAGGGCAATAATGCTCACCTACCCACGGTGGACACATGTTAATATGCCCACCGCTTATGTGGCATGCACACATTGGTGATGTTAATATATTCAAAAAAAATATCACCAATGTGTGCATGCCACATAAGCGGTGGGCATATTAAAATGAGTTGGGGGTGCCTGCGGTGCACTTTTTACACAGCACCTGCTGTGTTTGATCCCCACCATTGGATCATGTTAAGTTACCATTAAATAATGTTAACTTAACATGATCCAATGGTGGGGATCAAACACAGCATGTGTTGAGTAAAAAATGCACCGCAGGCACCCCCCATCCTATTAAAATGTGTCCACCGCGGGTAGGGAAACATTACTCTTAATTAGGGTGCACA